GAATATTGGGACACTCATTCTTACACTGTGAGCCACAAATCATCACAACCATCCTGTTGGACCTGCCAAACATTTCCAGGTGCTCTTAACTACATTTGCAACATCTTGGCAGAAATACAAGTCTAGTGTGGTAGCAGGTCAATGAAAAAGACAGTTTTGACATAGAACTGTTCAGTCTTCACAGCTATAGTAAGTTAAATAGCAATAAAAGCTGTTCTGAAAGGCTGTGATCCATTTTACAATTTATTGAAAAAAGCTGGCTTAGATTTTTCCAAATAAATCATAATATTTTTCTGCTTTTACATATTATGTATGTCACTGAAACAGACTGGAATTTACAGTTAGGTTTCAGATGAGTATCCAAGCCCCATTAGAAGTGTGAATAAAATCATTAGCTGGAAAGTATTTTGCAAAACACAATTAAACATGTTCTTCAAGTGAATGAAGAATGTAATGGTGGTCCTTATATGCCTTTCACTTCCAGGACTTTGGCCACCGATGTCAGTTCTCTTCTGATAACCCAGAGAGCTGCCCAGCAACACACCCTACAGTGTATCTAGCAGACAGAATTGCACAGGTCAGCAAAAAACAGTGAGGAAGTTTTTGTTAAAACAAGGTGTCTGTTTTGAGATTTTTTTTATCAGTTAAGTGGGTTATTGTTGTTACTACTGGCTGGGACATCAGCTTTAGCTTTTATCACTGTTGCAAATATTAGTTGGAAGCCCATGCAAGGAAAGCTGCTTGTCACTCAAACTTTATTACTTTAAATGTATCTTATAAAGAATGTGTGTTTTATTCAGGTATCTGGCATGTACCTTGAGAAAAGAATAATTTCTTCTTTATTCTCAGTCTCAGAGGACCTTTAAATCTACCAAGAAATGTGTTCATTAACATCCAACAAGCTTGAGAGTGGCCAGCTGCCAGACTGAGAAAGTGGAAATCTACAGAAAAAGAACTGAGCAAACCTCCAGAAAAAAAGATTAGGCAACTATAAAACACAGGTGTTTTCAGAAATCTGAATCTCTCATACAGAGCCATTCTTTTGATCATTCCTCCTACTAAAGTTAGCGAAGTAATTGCTTGTGTATTAATCAAAAAACTTACAAAACACTATCTGTCTCTAATTCAGGATGTTTATAGCTAAAACGTAACTTACCATGCTTATGAATAAATGCAAGCCCTTGCAGGATCTGATACATAATATTCCTAACTGTAGACTCAGGGAATAGTTTGTTTCTGTGGAATAAAAGCGAAGAAATAAATATTAATGATTAAATTCATACATTAGCTTATGCTATCCAATGAACCAAAGATAAAAGGTAGTAATGACAAATAAAACTTCTAGTTAGCTTTTCATATTTGCCTAATTTTTTTTCTAGCTACAGAGGAAATACTTATTTGTCCCTTGGCACAAAATTTACCATTAAAAGCCCACAATTACTACATCTTAAAAGAACACCCTACTCCCCTACCACACTAATCTGGGACAAGACACTGGAAACTCACACTAGACTGGCTGGGATATGCTCAAAGGTGACAGTCACAGCTCCTACTGCAGCCTGCAGCTTTAATGATAGTGATCCAAACCTAAACAAATGATCCAAAGCCTTTTGAACAGTATCAGAGGTGTTAAAAGCACATTACACAATTAATACATATCAGGAATGGGTGATGCTGTTACATACCTCTCTTTCATTAGCTGATAAAGATTTTCCTTCATGTATTCAAACACAAAATACAGATGATCATTTTCCCTGATAACTTCTTTCAGCTTTACCACGTTGGCATGGTTTAATTTCTTCAAAGACTAGAAACAGAAAATACAAACAAGATTTTACAAGGGTCATAATATAGCGAAGAAAAAAAAACCAAACCAACTTATTTCACTGTTGCAGAAGGATTAACTTCAAAAACTCTTTGGTGTCTTAAATAATCAGACAGCTCTGAGAACAAAGACCGGATCTCCAAGTATTACCATATACATATACAGTCTATGCTGCAATTTAATGTGTGCTCGTCATTCAGAAGCCAGCTATCTGCTATCACTGTAAGTAAGCACCAAAACAATTGCATTTTCTCTATAAGAAACTTCCTAATGGCAGGATTCACACTCTTCCTGCACCTGCACTGGCAACAGTCAGGTTAGAGTCAAGACTAAAAACAACCCTGGAAAGTCTTCCTTAGTATTGTGGATTAACCTTTGTGGGCAGCTGAGCCCACAAGTGGGCCCAAGTGGGATGGGGAAAATAATCAGAAGGGCAGAAAGTGAGACAACTCATAGGCTGAGATATAGAAAAGGCAAGCATGCAATTCATTCACTGCTTCCCATGGGCAGTCAGGTGCTCAGCCACCTCCAGTACAGCAGGGCTCCATCACATATAATGGTTACTTGGGATTCATATGCCCTCACCCTGAAGGTCTCCTGCTTCCTCCTCCTTCCCTGAGCTTTTGTTGCTCAGCACAATGTCACATGGGATGTCCCTCTGGTCAGCTGTCCTGGCTGTGTCCCCTCCCAGCCTTTTGCCCACCTTCAGTCTACTCACTGACAAGGAAGCATGAAAAACAGAGAAGGCCTGAGGTTGTGAAAGCACTGCTCAACAATAACTAAAACATGCCTGTGTTGTCAAGACTGTTTTGGTCAGAAAACCAAAACACAGACCCACAGAAGTTCCTACAAAGAAAACTAAATCTACCCTAACCAAAACCAGAAAAATTGGGTCTTCCTCCTCTTTTTCTTTTTCAATTTTCAGTGTATTTGATGTCCATTTTTACATGGTACTGTAAGAAAAATTACCTAGGTTGTCTGCCATGTTTTCAGTGCTGACTAAATTAAGGATGTCCCTAGAGCCTACCCCCAGTGTTTCATCAGCATCAGAATTTAATGCTAAATGTCTGTCCCCAAGCCAACTATAGAGACACAGCTGCACATACAAAAGTTAATGCTGTGCAAAGGGCATATGTTCTCAAGCTCTGAAAAACAAACACCTATCAACTCCAGGTGTTGTGACAGGAAAGCTCTCACTCACACACCCCTCAATGCAGGGAGGAATCACCTCTCTACAGCCAAATAATTTTTGTAAGAATACAGAATTTCAATAAGCATTTTTAAAAGACTATCAGCACTCCCTTCCAATGCAGAGTCAGAAAACAGAACTGTAATGTCAAATGCTACAGCTCACTTTGGGAGTAGTGTTATGACAGAAGAGTTGTAAAGAATTTGATGTTACCCCCAAATGTGACAGTAACAGTCTAATTTGAAGTCAACTATTAAACAAAACAAGTACCTTAACCTCTCGAAGGTTCATGCACTCCTCCCAGGAATAAAACTTTCTCTTCATTCTACAAAAGTGAGGAGAAAATAATGACTAAAGCATTGAAAACATAAGCTGTTCTTAGAACCAAATGTCTCACTGCATCTTAACAATTTAATTCTTCCATCAAAATGTGAGATGTTAGCTCCTTTGCCAAAACACTTTACTTCTCTAGACAAGGTATAGTCAAGCAGATTTATTAGAATACACACTCAAATGGAATTACAGTCAAATAATAATTACTATTACACAGGATTGCATTTTTCTTTATATGTATCTTGCTGAAAATAATTCAGAGCCTACAACAAGCTCAGGCATGCTATTTTTCTTTCTGGTGTAACAATGTGGTGGAGTCTAACTGTAAAAAGAACAAGGGTAGTTTTGACAGTTATGAACAACTTAGAGGAAGGTTTTGAAACAAATCAAATGAAGATCCAATCACTTCACTGGGTTCAAATTTTATCCTATTCTCCTTGCCTCTCTTCTCTGTAATTTTAATATCTTGCTGTATTTCCACGTTTTCCTTTGTCCACTGCTCCCCATGTTTCTCCTTCCCTTGCAAGGTGCATCTACCATACCAACTGCTTTTTGAATTCTACTTTCCCTTTCAAGCTTATAAAGAACTCTGCTCTAACAGAAACAAATTGTGTGGCAGTTTTCTCCTAAGCTAGATAGCAACTCTGAACACAGTATTTGTGTGTAATGTATGGTCCTGTGTGTTCATATGCATTTTGATTACCACTCAGTTCTTTGAGGCTATGCTTTAGGACCAAAAGGATGAAGGCTCACACATACACACATGCAGAAGATCACAGATTCAAACTTACAAAAATACTCAACCATGTAGAGTCTGGATTTCAGAGGGAGTTAGGCACTCTCTTAAGATCCAAGTCTTTGCCTTTAATGATAATTCAGTATTACTTATTATTGTATCAAGTTTCCGGTTTGAAATCAGCCCTTACAATTAGAGTAGTTTAAGAACCACAAGCCCTTCATGTCATGAAGGGGTCTGGATGGTTTTTTTTGGGGTTTTTTTTGGTGTTTTTTTTTTTAAGGACTGTTTTTGTACTTACAGTCTTGTGCACTCAGTTACCAGGCCACTTTTTTTTTTTTTTTAACAAAGGACCAGCATTAACACCTAAGCCAAGAGAATACTTTTGGCTCGTTCTGATTTTTCTGAATTTTTCCCATATTACAAACTGAAAATTAAAGGTGCTTCTAGCAAGGTCTGATATAGGCAAAATACCCTCAGCACAAGGGATTTAGAAAGTTGATAAAGCCAGCTATTGACTGCTCATACAAAACAGCATTGTACTGAAAGCCCTTTTGACAAGTCTGTCCCTTGTCATGGTCATGGTCGGTATTTCAGGAAGGTGCCTGCAATGCTTTACAGCTGTCTCTTACCATAGCTAGGACAAATAAGCCATTTACATTTATAAGGTCACTGCTGAAGGAGAAGAGAAAATCAAGTTAATTTCTCCAGGAATTTCAAGAAAATCTTAAGCTGAAAAGACCAACATATAATAGCATAAAAGATACAGATAATGGACAATGAGATCAGTTGTGTTATCACTGCACTATTAATATTCCATTAAAAATTAGACTACAAAATATATGTTCCATGTAAGCACCAGCAAAAAGGCTGTACATTTCAAAGCAGCATTGCAGAATACTCTAAATAATACATAGAACACACATTTGACTGCACATAGCAGTAGAGTGCTGTTACACAGTAAGCCTATATATCTCACCCTCTTTATCTCCTGCTGAGATAAAGGAACTTTTTCACGCTGCCGAAACACAACTCCATATTAAAAAGCTGCATGGAATGTGTAGTACTCAAACCAGCATGACCAAGTCGATGTGGACCTAGAAAGGAAAAACCTGGACTATGCATTATTAAGCAATCTATGAAAGCACTTACTTTTTAATGGCTATTAGCTCTCCAGATTCAATGCTTCTCCCTAGGAGAACAGAGCCGTAGGTCCCATCACCAAGCTGTCTGATAGTTTTGTACCTATTCATGATGAAGATACTTTAGCTGCGAGCACATTTCAGTCCTTGACGTTTCCTGTGTTTTTTCTCCTCCGAGTGTAACCAGTTCTTTCTGTGGCAGCATAAATATAGAGCACTCAGGACAGTGTGAACAGTTGCAGGAATCATGTTTTCAAGACTTAGCCTTTGGTCTGAAAGCACAGAACATAATCCATTTGATTTCTGCACCCATCTGAAATTGCTTGTTTGCAGATTCCACTCTCCTCCAAGAGAACAGTCCCTGTCAGCCATACACAAACACTTGTCTCGGTCTCTCAGCAGAAAGGGCCAGCCTGTATCTGGATATGACTGGGTGTAATCCCCAAAGCTACTCCTATGCTAAAGTTAAAGGTACCTTACAGCAAGCTTGCAGGCAGCCCTGATGGGAGACACTATTGCTGAAGTCACAGGATAAAGTTTTCTGGCCTGAAGAAAACAGTCTGCTACCAGAAAAAAATGAAGCTTTACAATACAATAGGAGGGGGGATCTGTCCTAGCCAAATTTTTAGTCATGTAAGTCACCACCTTACAAGTCACACTGCCATTAGTTAAACCAATATCCTGAATTTCCATAAGGTCCTATGTGAAACAGCATAGCCATATACATTCCTTTAAACAAAGTGTGCAAAGGAAGAATATTACATTCACGTCAGGTAAGACCAAATGTATTTTACTACAGTAACCCTAAGCATGAATCAGTCCCTAGAATAGTAGCTACATGAGATTATCTATCTGATCTTTTGTTGTGACACAGCATGAACAAAAAAATCATAGAATGGTTTGGATTAGAAGGCACCTTAAAAATCATCTAGTTCCAATTCCTGTGCCGTGGGCTGAGACACCTTCCAGTACCCAGGCTGCTCAAAGCCTGACCCAGTCTGGCCTTGAATTCTTCCATGGATGGGGCATCCACAGAATCTCTACTGGATAACAAAACAAAAAATTTCTTGTTCCTAGTTTAATGTAATTGTTGCTGGTATTTTCTCCACTACAGTTTAGAAAAAATATAATCTATTCTATGTAAACTAACCATACATTTGAAATAAAACAGAATTCCCCCATAATGAAAATTTGGTCACAGCATTCTCTTATTCTTCATCTCCTAAAAAGACAACAATATTCATGGCTTTTGACTTTTACCGTCTGTGACGTGTATTTTAACTTCATTTTCACCATTTTTTTTGTAGCAACCTTACATCTTCCTTATTTCACAAAGCCGTATTATGATTTTAGAAGTAATTGGATTATGGTACTGGAACTCTGAACTGACATCAATGCAAAGCCACAATCCTGTAGATGCAAGATGTTGTGACCATCCTTTATTTTCCGTCTTCTAAGCCTACTAGCCCTACTAATACTGATACGGGACTAAAGACCAGGAAATCTGAAGTTAAAAGACCTTTTGACAATTTAGCCATTGTGCAGCATGTCTCTAAATCTATCTCAGACACTGGGTAGTGTCTCAGACAAGCAGGAGGAACTGCCCTGTAGCAGCCCTGTTTCCTTCCACACACTCACTACTACAGAGAATCAGGACTGAGCACCTTATATTAGAGACCTAATCCCACATTTTGTAATTATTGCAAAGGAACACAGAGCCTGTCTGTAACAACAGCAGTTTGGAATACCAGTTCCTTTTTTGTTGGTTTTCAGGTTGTGCACCTGAATAGCATAAAGCTATGCTCAGTGGTCTGCATCCAGGTTAAAAAGCTTTAGCCTGCTTACTCCAACTGGTCAGTGACTGGACAGCAACTCAAAAACCCTTATTCAGATTCTTGGCAACAACATTTCAAACAATGACAATATCTTAAATGTTCTTCTAGTCTTAAAATCTAGAATTTATTAATATCCAAACAATTTCATACAGTAATTTCAAATCAACATATAGTTGACTAGTGGACTTTACTGCTCATACTGCCCTGACGACAATGTTCTGAAACTGTGATCCTAACAGCTGTCATGTCTTACAATTCACACACTCCTATGCTGTCCTTGAATTACCATTTACATATCCCTTTCAGGGAACTATGACTGAAGAGTGGAGGAGCACCCTTGCCTCATTTGATAACCACAGCGAAACTAAAGAAGTTTAACACTACTAGCAATAATCACAAATGTCTGGATAGATTGATTGTCTCATGACTTAAACAGATGAAGTGGCAAACCTAACTGCTTATTCCTTACTGAGGATACAAATTTAAGTCCCTCTGCTTTCCAGAGCCACCAATTTTCACAAAACTTGTATGAAATTATCTTTGTAATTCTAGCTCTGGTGTCAAATGTGACCAAAACAGACTAATTGAAATACTTTTGAGGAATAAAAGTGAGTAGAGAAAACAAACAAACAAAAACCTGCGAACAACAACCCCCCAAAAACATCACCCCCCACCAAATCCAAAACCAAACAAAATAACAAAACACAAAAACCCAACCCCCATCCAAATCAAACAAAACCCCTAAAAACAAACAAAAAACCCCCAAACCCAAACCAACCAACCCCCCCAAAAACCACAACCCCCCCCAAAAAACCCAAAACAATAAAACCCCCAAAACAACACATACACACACACACGGACCTCAAAAAAACCTAACAATCCAACGAAACAAAAAATAACAGTAACAAAAAACCCAAACCAGTCAGAAACGTTAAAAAACATGCCACGATCCACAGAAGTTAACCCAGCTCCCATGGAAGCACAAATCCACCTTTATGAAAACCCGCCGACAAAATCTAAATCAAGTCTTCTCTGGTTAACTCAATCAGCACCGTTTCTGCTTGAACTTAATAGTGAGGTTGTTTTAAGCTGCTTTACTCGGCCTTCAGACGGTTTCGGCCGAGTCCCACTGAAATCAGTGCAGAACATCAGTCTCCGACAAGCAGTCTGCAGAACTACATGTACCGGCTAATCTAAAAGTAAAATCTACACAAATTCACATCGTTAGAGGATGTAAATATAAACTGCGAAAATATCTTTAAGTAAAAAGTGTGTTGATACTAAAGAGTAAAATGTAAATCCCTTATTTTCACGATGTTATAACACCGTGTTCAGACTCTACCTCACCTATACACTTTCTCCCCACAAAAATCAAATAGTAAAACGCCTTTAACAGCAACACTAATTCAATGTCTCAAGAGTATTTACTAAATTCAACTCAAACCTACTATTTCGCTTATGAACCCTTTAAATACGTCCTGTCTGAAGTACCGAAGCACGGAGAACTGAAAGCGAAACTGGCTGACTCTGCCACAGCTGAGAAACGCAGAAAGTAAACAAACAGCATGTGCCTTTTAAAACTTGTCCTGTGTTGTGGCAATTACTTGAAGGTATTACGAGCAGGAAGCAGTGAGGAAGGCGCGGTTCAAAGCCGTGGGTGCCCACGGGCTCGGTCCCAGCGGCTGCCGCGTTTGTTAGCCAGGGCTCCGGGGGTGCCCCATGAGCTGCACACCAAGGCACGGACAGAAGTGCGATGGCGGGTCGGCCGCTCAGGACAGGTCCCGGCTTCCGCCCGGCCTCCGCGCTGCGGCGGCGCCCGATCCCCAGCCTCGGCCCCTGTACACCCGAGTGTCCCCGCTCCCGTTCCTCCCTGTATGGGAACGCGGGTTCCTCGCTCTATGGGTCCCTGCGTGCCCGTGCCCGTGGCCGACGGGACTCACCGCGGACGTGTCTCCCCGCTCCGGCCCGCCCCGCGGACAGGCCCAGAATGGCGGCTCCGCGGCCCCGCCGCCCCGCGGAGCAGCTGCGGCCCAGAGCGGGCCTGGCTCGGCTCATGGCGCGGCCCCGGCCCCCGCCCGGCCCGGCCCCCCGTGCCCCCGGCCTGGCCCGCCGGGGCTCCCCGCGGGGGGACAGCGCCCCACGACTGCGGCCGGGGGAGCCGCTGCGGGCCCCTCGCAGAGGGGGCGCTGAGCTGGGTTTAAGCGAGACAAAACCAAACCAAACCAAACCATCTCTGGACCACTTCTCTTGTGAGAGACTGAGGGAGCTGTGCCTGTTCAGTCTGGAGAAGACTGGGGAAGGATTTCGTTAATGCGTAGAAATATCTCAAAGGTGGGTGCCAAGAAGATGGTGCCAGACTCTTTTCAGTGGCACCCAGTGACAACACGAGGAGCAATAGCCATAAACTTCAACACATGAGGTTCCATTAACTGTGTGCAAGAATTTCTTTACATTAAGGGTAGCAGAGCACTGTGACAGGCTGCCCAGGGAGGTCGTGAGGTCTCCCTCTCCGGAGACATTGAAAACCCACCCTTGGAGGTGCTTCTGTGTAACCAGCTCTAGGTGACCCTGCCTTGGAAGATGACTTCCAGAGGTCCTTACCAACCCTAACGGGTCTGTGATTCTGTGAAAACAAAACCCAGCCGAACAAACACAAACCCCACAATGATGATGGGCCTCTCTCCATCTCAGAGAGGAGTTTAAACAATAAAACTAGAACACAGAAATACCAAACTGTGAACAAATGGGAAGAATATCAATATTTTAAGTGCTGATAGAGGGGCACTTGCCTTCCTCACCCAAGTGTCAGCAATTCACCCTGGCTCTGACAGGGTCAACCTAAGATGTCATGGGAAGGGCAGAAAAAAGAAAACAAGGAACAAAAAGTTGTGCTAAAACAATTGATTATCAGGATTGTAATAGTGATTCAGGAAGTGTCAGGTTCATTTTACACTTCATCCCTTAGGTTTTAAAAGTAAAGCATAGAGTTAATTCCCAGGGTTTGGAAAGACAGGATGAGCTGGTGCTGTAATGCAGGAGTACAGTGTAGGGCAAGATATTAATTTGCTAAAACAGATAAGGGGAAAAACAAAGCTCTGGGTGCCTCCCCCCACTCCATCTAGTCAGAGGCTAATCTCTATATTTGCATGAATATATAATAAAGACTCAAATTCCCTCCAATAGATAAGCATGATTCTCAGTGAAACTAGGAGGAGCAGTGTACACTTACATGAGATTTCTGCTTTAAGCCATTTATATTACTTCCCACATGCATAATCACATATTAGCTCTCAGCTCAGCGACAGCCACAGGATGCCGTTTTTCTGTTGTTACACGCAAGGCTTCTTCATTCACGAAAGAATCATAGAATTATTTGGATTTAAAAATCATCTAGTTTCAACCCCTCTGCCATGGGCAGGGACACCTTTCACTACACCAGATTGCTCAGACCCCCACCCAAACTGGCCTTGAACACTGTCGAGGATGGGCAGATCCACAGCTTCTCAGGGTAACCTGTGCCAGTGCTCACCGCCCTCACAGTAAAGGATTTTTTACTAATATGGAACGTTTACTATCTACGAAGAGGCACACCCAGGTAGGAGAAAAGCAGCTTTTACTCCAACTGCAAACGAGAAGCTGCACTGATAATAACCAGTTGTAGCCACTGAGCACCCCATTGAAAACCTCAGGTGGTCACGCTGTGTCATCTCAACTGCTCATACAGCCCGCCAGCAGCACCCAGTCCGCCCTGCTCCCCACTACCTCCGGCTGCCCGGCCAGCGATCGGCGCCCGGCCTGTCGGGCAGCCCCCTTGCCTCTCTCCTCTCCACAGAGCAGCTCTACAGTCACCTGGATCCGATAGCCGCTGCCGATGCCGGCTCCCACAGCCCTTGCATCCCCATATCCTGCTCCCGCTGCCCGATCCTGAGCGCTCACCTACCCCTCCGGAGAAGACACACGCCGCCTCATCCTCTTCCTGAAAACGCTCAGGGTAGTAGACATGCACAAAGGTTCACGGATCCATACACGTGGTTTTCTTCTGAAACAAAAAGACTGTGATACGCTTTAAAAAAATAGGTTTGATCGAACTTTAGAAAACCTGACGAGGCGTGTGTTGACAGCAGGTGATAACTGCGCTCACTGAACTGGACGGGCAAATGAGCAGGGCCACGCGATTCAATGGCCTCGGTACCGCTGTTATCTCCACAGCCGCGGCACTGAGCGCTCTCCCGTTACCCCGTCGGCAATTCGCCTGTGCCAGGGTATCGCTCTGACCGCAGTCACAGCGGAAACCGCGGTTCCGGGACATCGCCACTTTACCTCGGCTCCCGCCCCGGGATCGCGTCTGCCAGGATTCCCCCTCATGGAGACTACAGTTCCCGGCAGCCTTTGCGCTGCTGCCCTTCCCGTGGTGTACTGCCGCGGACTACGCTCCCCAGCAGGCCTTGCACCGCGTTGCCGCGGGAGGCACAGGCGACACGGGCCGCAGTGCGCACTGGGGCGGGGAGTCTGTGCGGTCGCGCGTCGTAGCGGCCCGCGCGGGAGGCGGCGCTCTGACCTGGCGGGTTCGCCCGGGCCGTGTCCCGCCGCTCCCGCCGCCGGCCCTGCTCGCCGGGAAGATGGCTGCCGTCCGCAGGGCCCGCAGGGACTCCCGCTGCGTGGTGCGCTTCTCCGACCGAGAACTCTGCTAAGTGCCCCCCGCGGGCAGGGAGGACACACGGACCAAGCAGGGGGGCAGAGCCCCCGGGACGGGACAGCGCCGCCCGAGCGTCGGCAGCATGGTGAGCGGCCCCGGGCGGCGGGGGCTCGGCCGCCGTGCAGGGACGGCCGGGCGGGACCGGGACAAGGGGGTGTGTATGTGGGAGCGGCCCCCTGGCCGAATTGCTGGCAGGCATCCCTGCCCTGCCCGCCTGTCCGCCCTCAGGCACCGGGCGATGCTTGTGGGAAACGTGCCGTGATACCGCCCCACCGCGGGCAGACACGGCCACCTCCCCCAGAGGATTTTGTTGAGTGGGGCTGCTTGGTGCTGGAGCGATCTAGCCCTCCGTAGGAACGCGTGAAAAAAATCCCTGTGTCATTACAGGGAAGCGTGCCCTTCCTTTCCTTTCCTTTCCTTTCTTCAAAAATGTGGTGGCATAAAGTCGCTCAGTAATTTAAATGACTCCGCGGGCCAGGGACTCGAGTTGAGTTTATCATTTGACTTACCAGAAATACTCCTTGGTTCAGTATTGCTTTATTGAATGCGCCTCAATATGAATTCAAGTATCCATGATGAAAACTCGATCATTCAAAGTTAAACCATTTATACCACACAAGATCTGTTAAAATGTCTCACCAAGGTTATAAAAACTCTTAAATTTGAGCACGGTGTTGTTTTTATCACATTTACAGAAAAATAGGGTGGCTTTCTCATTTTTTTATAAAACCAGGAGGAGTGTTAGCTGGCAGTCACTGTTTCGCTTTGCCGTGCTTGCTCCTCCCTGAGTTCTGTATGGTTCACACATTTCATAGTCCTGTTCAACTGGTGACACTCAGCTTCGAACTTTTTCTGATTTTGGTTTTATTTTGCTGAAACGGAGATCAGAACTATTAACGGACCTGATGTTACAGTTTAGTGAATGGTTAATGTACACTGAGGAAATAAGTGTGCAATTACTGATTGCAAAACAAAACTGAACTGCGCAAATAAACTAGTTCTGCATTTGGCAAATGGTTTCTAAGCAAATCAGAATTGAATCTACTCAGCTGACTTAATTTTTTACAAGTTGCAGCCTAAATTAGATGTTTACTTTTTACATGCTACCTTTTGGTGGGTTGACAGACTACGACTACCCTTATGGAAAATTAATCAAGCCAATCAGCCAGTACAGAGTACGGTATCTTCCTTTCAATCAGGACGAAGTCACTATTCTGTGTGACAGCTGACTTGTATAAGGAGAAAGGCCAGCAGCACAACGATGAACAGTCTAGATTTATCCCCTAAATAGCAGTTAGAGGAAAGTGTTCTGTGAATTTTAGAAACTAGAAGTACAACGCAAGCGTTCTCAGAGTTGGGGCAAGGAGCCAGTTTGTACATGTTGTGGAGTGCTGTAGGTGTGATCTTATGAGCTGTCTGCTGGTGAAGGTCCTTGCTTCACAGTACCTGTGTTTACTCACTTGTTGAATATGATTATGAAATTCAGGATTTCAACAGGTCAGATAAATAGTGGAAAGGTTGTTAATAGAGATCAGTTTTCTAGTTCATTCCTATGCAGTAGCAATGTGAATTAATTGCTTTACCAGTAAATTTAGAGGGGTGGGCACTTAGGCTGCTACTACTGCCAGAAGACAGACCTTTGATATGAGAGATTGCAGGTCGCACATGCCTACACTATAGGGAAGGTAATGACAAAACTTTGGTTGTAATCAATTTCACGATGGTTTTTGACAGCTTTTATACTGTGGGCCAGGTCTTCATAGTATTTTTGACTTGAGAGCATATTTAGGTTTCAAAGAGCATCAAATTACATTTTGGATGTAGTCAGTCCACTACCATGTCTGACTATGATTCAGAAATGAAGAAGCAGGGCAGCTGAACCCAGAGGAGGGATTGAAAATCAAGAGTTAAACAGATTAGTGAAATATAAAGTTTTTGAATGAGGTTAATTTCATCCAGCTTTCTAACCTTCTAAGTAGTTTCAACGCTTAAATCAGTTTGTTTACAGAATTCAGGAGTTAAAGGTTTTAATGGGCGTGCCTTTATGCATAAGAAGATAGTGTGTTGATTTAGTTTAGAAATTGCTAGTTTCTGCATTTTGCAGATAAAACCAGGCTTATTCTGCCCAGACTGGAGAGCTGACTGGACATAATTCAGCTGCAAACCAGAAGCCTTGCACTCTGCGCAGACAGAATTAGGCCTTATTTCTGTCAGCCCAGTGCCATAATAATGCACTTACAGAATCCCATTTCAGAGCTAGCCCATTCCTAGGCTGGCTCTGCTTGGCCAACAAAATATTCCTGGATGCTAATAATGTGGTAGGACCGTCACA